GAAATCGCCGCCTTTCTGCCTCACCACCACCGAAGCTGAGCTCGTCGGTCCTGTTCGACTAACACCCAACCGATTTGGTAAGCCACCGTCGCCGAGCGGACGAGCTTGGAAGAGGGGTGACCGAACAAGTTAGGGTTGAAATGAAGATTTTCAATGTTTTGGGATTATTTCAAATTTGTTGTGTTTTCTTTTTAAAAAATATATAATTTTATTTTTTAAATTTTAAATATTTTTTTTTAAATTATCAGATTGTGACACGTGTCACTTAACGGATAAAACAAACGGTCCGTCATGAAGTGACCCATTTTGAGTAACGAAATGAAACGTTAGGAACCAAACTGGAACGAAAAAAACGTTAGATACTAAACTGAAAAAACAAGCATACGTTGGACACCTTTTGTATATTTAACCCTTATATTAAAAAACTTCTAAAAATTCATTTATTGAACAATACCTTTCAAACAATATATTTTTGAAAAATACCCACAAATTGTCCACGTAAGATGACATCGTGTTTTGTAAAAAGCGATATCATATCTTACGTTTTACGAAAAACGAGTTCTATGTATTTATTTTTTGTTTTATAAAAAAATTAATTTATCTGAAAAGTTGATAGGTATTGCGTCTAATAAAACGTGAGATCCATTAAACGTGTTTTGTAAAACGCGAAATTATCTTACGTGTGCTGTTCGAAGTAATTTTCTAACAAATCTTGTTTAATATATATTGGTTCAATAAATAATTTTTTAGGTGTTCTTTTATATAATAACACCCAACGAAACTGTCTATTTTTGTTATCTGAAATATCGTGCTTCGATCAATTGTTAAAGAATTTAATATTTTTAAATTTATATTTGAATTTTGTGAATATTGGATTCATTTTATTTTATTTAGGAGTTTATTTTAATTTAAATATTGAAATAGTTGGGGGTTTACTGAAGATTTAAGAGTATTGTACTTAAAACAGTTATGGATATAGTATATCTAAATATAACAAGATGTGTCCAATATTTATGTTTGCAGATTTGACATATCCAATAATTTAAGTTAAATTTATTAAAATAATATTATACGGTGAAAGACTAAGGGGTTGTTTGTTTGTCTTTTAATGGAACCATTCAGCGCTAAATGCTGAACCGTTTAACATTCTGCGTGTTTGTTTCGCACTTCTAAATGATTCAGTGCTGACTGATTCAGCAAAACAGTATTGAATGATTCAGCACAGAAGTACATTCTAAATCATTCAGAGCCAGTTATCAAACAGAATGTCACATTCAGAGCCAAACCATTTAGAGCCTCTGAATCATTCATTATTTGAATCATTCAACGCTTAATAATTCTAAAATAAACAAACAACATCTAAATGTCACTTCAATACATTTTTAAAAATTGATTTTAAAAGTGTTATAAAATAAAATTTTAAAAATATTATAGAAAAATATAGTTCAAAATTTAATTATTTAAGTTTACAGTTAAAAAATAAATTTCAAAAGATAAAAGATCCATTATAAATATTATTTTATTAAGTAAAAATATATCATTTAAATTATATTTACATTTATATATAAATCATATCATTTTAAAGTATAATAGATTCAAAAGATATTATTATATATGAATTATATCGATTTAAACTATAATAAAATATAAAAATAGAATTATAATAAAAATATATTTTACATAACTCACTATTAATATTTTAATATGTAAATTTTAATTTTTTTAAAATAATTAAAATAAAAAATTAACAGTAATAAAATATATTTTTAAGGATGTTAGTATTAAATTATTAAAATAAAATATAAATATATAATTACATAGAGCTCATGCATTAATAAGGGTAAAATTATAATTTGTTTCCACACGCAAAGTTAAAAATAAAAAAGTTAAAACCGTAGCTTTTACAATTGATTTGAAATCATCGTTTCTACCACAATTTTCTTTCTTTTTTTCTTTTTATTTTTTACCCGTTTAGTATTGATTTTACGGTCTACATAAAACATTTTCCTGGTCAATAGAATTTTCTTTTTTGTTTTATGGAAAATGACTTACAGTATAATTTTTCGTAAGTCATTTTCTGAACTTTTCACTTCAAATAATAAATACTCAAAATAATTTTATTTTATGAAATTAATATTAATTTAATATTTTAATATCATTTTAATCAAAATATTAATTATTAAAATATATTTATTAATATTTCTAATAATATAATATTATATTTTTAATATTATAATAAAATAATCAATTCTATTATAATAATAAAAGATATTATATTTTTATTTTAATAATATATAATAAATTATTAATAGAATTTATATTATTTATTAATTTCATAGAAATAATATTATTAAATTATTAATAATGAATAATATTATTTATATATTTAATATTAATGTAATAATATTTTAATAAAGATATTTAAAATATACTAATTAATATTTTTTTAAATATAATATAACACTATTACTTAAATAAATAATTAATATAATTTATAATATTTTTATTTCAATAAAATATACCAATATTAATATTTTTATTAATAAAATTATAAAAATAATATTTAATAATAAATAAATTATTTTAATATTTTAAAAATAATTATATTAAGTTTTATGATAAATAATATTATTTATTGTATTTAATATTTTTAATAAATAATTTTAAAAAACTCATCGACTAGTGTAAAAAAATGTTTAACATCGTAAAACGTTTTTCAAAAAATACAATTCAATTTTCAGAATTCAATTTTCAAAAAATTAATTACAAGTTGGGAGGGAAATTTCTTTGAACGGAGAATCGGTACCATCTTTATAGAATTATCATATACTGTTTTTGGAAAGGAATCTAACAATGACAATGGTCGCATTTAATTCTATGAATCACTCAAAAGATCCACTTTGCCATTATTTTCTTAACCCATTGCAAATATTTTAAAATTTCGAGTTTGGTAATTCTTAAATTATATATATTTCAACACTTCATTAATGTTGAACTTAATTCTATTCCTTAATTTGATTAATATATATATATCTAGATTAATACACACCTATTTATATAGATTAGTATGATATTTTAGATTAGTTTTTAATATTTTTTTAATTAATTTTCAACTTTCCTAGAAAACCATCATTCTTAATTCTCTAATATATTTTTACAATCATCCTGGACCCCCAAAATCACTATTTCCTAAAATCTCTTTAAAATCACGAAATATGCACCCAAAAAAATCTATAATTTTGTTGGGTTTAAACACTTTCTCATATTTAAAAATTTCGAGGTGTTTGTTCGAATTCAAATGACAAAAGATGTATATTTTAAGAAAACGAACAACGTACATCGAAACTACATGCGCCAAATAATCATTAAATGAGATCAAAGCTTTAGAACTCAAACATTTATGTGTATTTTCACAAATTTTAAGTAAGTTTTATGAAGAACAATTATAATAAAAGTAAAATGAGTGAAATGTAAACGTTTCAGTATCGATATTGTCGTGAATGACGACCAATGATGGTCATCGATTGATTGCCAATGACAGTTGAAAGAGTTGACTATCTTATGTAACAAAAACAAAAGAAACGACCATATCATCGTTGTTGTTAACAATCTAACGGGTCGTTGACAAAGAAAAATCAGCATAAAGAAATTAATGTTAAAATTAAAGTATTTTAAAATTTAACGATTAAATTGATATGAAAACTAAATTCATTGACTAATAGAATAGTTTACCCATAAAATTATATATAAATTTCGAGGAAAGGGGGGCGATGAGAAAGTTGGGGGAGGGGGGTGATGTTATCAATGCTCGGACGAAGATATTTTGAGACTGATGGTCTGCCTACACATAGAGCATTATTAGTGGTAAACAGAGAAAGGTCACATGCAATGCAAACCAAACAAAGCCTCTGCCCCCTATTCTTCTCCCCCCTTCACCTCCTTCTTGCGTCCACACCACGCGCTATTTTTTCAGATAATAACTACTTCTTTGAAAGGCTTTAATTAGTATTATTTTATTTATAATGCAATAATAATTTTTACTGTAAACTACTTTTTTCTTATTGTAGAATGTTAAAAAGGCTGGAAGTTTTAATTTTTAATTTTAAAATGTAAATAAAACATAATAGAAAAATAGAAAGCACACATGTAAAGAGGGCGCGTGGGAGGAGCGACCAGACAAGGTTATTTCTTGGGGACAGAATTTAATGTTAAAAAATTCAACTTCAAACAAGGAGGGCAAAATTGCTTGGACGAGGCATTTAAAAAAATTATATTTTTATTTGGAGTGCTTCATATTTTACTTTTCTAAATAGGGTAAATGTTAGGGTGATGCTCGAAGTCCCTCCGAATATTTGACGTCTTTTGAAAGATCGTCGGAGCATTTAATATCTTCAAACATTTTATCACCAGAGCACCATGACTAGCCTCCCTCTCTACTGTAGCTATATCCAACTAAAATACCATTGTTGGCTGACGTTGAATGTTGTTGGAGATGAAGAGTCGAAAACGTCGAGTCCTCCGACTGTCTATCAGAAGATGTCATATGCTTCGATTGTCTTCCAAAAAATGTCGAAAAATGTCATAGTAAATTATATACATTCAACCTCATTTCCAAGTTTTAATCACCTCTAAACTATAATCTAATGAAAATATTAACTCGATGAGAGCAAAACGAGCACATATAATTTTAGTCTAACCAAGATAATATGAAATAAACTAACGCAAAAAATTAATGGTAGGAATGAGTTTAGAATTATATTATAAAAATTTGAATATATTAATAGTTTATATAGAATTCTGGTTACTTTAATTATAAAAAAATAAATTTAACCTTTTCTACTTCTTTTAAATTATAGATATTTATATTATGTTTTAAGCCAGCCATTGTCACTCTCATTGAAAGCAAAGCATCATCAGTCCTACTCACACAGAGTTGAGACGAAGAAGGTGAGAGAAAGAGAGATAAACACAATAATACCTTTATAGATATCAATATAGAGGGAGAGAGAAAAGATAAACAGCTTTCGCTACAGGAGAGAAGAGATAGAGAGAGAAAGCACTGCCCTAGAAAATATGAATCCCGATAAGGACTGGTGTTTGCTAAGGAGCTTCTTGTAGCAACTAATATACACACGCTTTCTTTCTATTCCTTCATTCCATCACAAAAAAAACTAAAAAAATGGCTTCTTTTCTCTATTATTTCTCGCTTTCCCTTTAATTCCTTTTAGTCTATTGGTTTTCCTAAGAAAAAAAAACCCATCTTCTTCAAAGCTTCTTATTCTCAAAAGGTTGGACCTTTTAACAGTTTAATCCCTGTTCTCTAATGTAAGTTTCTTTCACTTTCTGGGTTTTTTCCCCATGTACAGGAGCAAATATTTTAGCTATGTCTGCTTAGTTTTTGAAGGAAGTTGTAGTTCTTTTAACTTGATTTAACTTTCTCTTGTATGGATGGCATTGGCTTTAGCTTTTGTCTGTTCCTTTCTTTCTTTTTCTTAATCTTGTGAGTAAATCGTTCCTTGGGGTAGTGATTCTGATCATGCTTGGTGTTAAAGATATATAATGAGTTGGTGAGGTTGAGACCTGGTTTTCAGTTCCCATCCTGCTTTATTTCTTTAATATGAAGCTTCCCCCCCCCCTCCCCCCACAACTGTTTGGTAAGCTGTAAATTAGCTTTCATTTTTGTCTTTTCCTTTCAAGTTATGAGCTTGATATTTCATCTCTTTTTTTCTTCTCTCTCTCCATTGTTTTCTCCTGTTGGTTGCTTGTAGATTATTGGTTCTTCATTTTCCTCTCATGATTATGGGGCTTTTCCTGTTTTCTCTTCTCTGTAAAGCTAAATGTATCTCTTTACTATTTGTTGCGGCTCAATTTCATGAGCTATGCATGTGTGAAATTCGATTTTTGTGAATATGAACCGTGGGGAAACGAGTTCTTCATTGACATATATATTGTTCTCTGTCTTTTCATGTTGTATCCAAGATCCATATGCCTTTTAACTTTTTAGTGGTCACAATTGGAGTTTCGTAGGCGCTTTTCTGCTATTATAGCCTTTGCAATTTGCATGGAGTGTTGATCTGAAGGCAAATTCAAGTGTATGTTATTCCAGGTAAATGCATGGATCGAAGGGATGCTATGGCGTTATCGGGCTCTTCTTCTTACTATATTCAACAACGAGGAATAACTGGAACCGGAACACAGACCGGGGTACATGGATCATCGGGCATTCATCCGATATCGAGTCCTAATGTTCAATACCAATCGAGTATTAATGCCACTACCATGGGAGCAACCTTATCTGTAGAGCCTTTGTCGGGAATGTCTCCTCGTAGTGTCAATGTGGGCATGTCTCCTACGGTGCCAGTGCAGTCTAGCGAGACAGTGAAACGTAAAAGAGGAAGACCTCGGAAGTATGGACCCGATGGAACTGTTTCGTTAGCACTGACTCCTGCATCAGCTACTCATCCTGGAACGATAACTCCGATCCAAAAACGGGGAAGAGGGCGGCCACCGGGTACCGGAAGGAAGCAACAATTGTCTTCCCTCGGTAAGTTATTTTGCCATCTGTTTGTAGTGTTCAACATTGCACGCTCAGCCTTATATTTAGATAGGAATATGCCGAGAGCTGATGAGAGTTTCGGATTTTAAATAACTACGAGTGACACTGACATATATTTTCAAATGTGGAAGTCTTCATAACTAACAATTCATCAATTTCTGCAAGCTAAAGATCCATTCTCCTTGGTGAATGAACATTTCATATCTTGTCACGGCTTTCAGTTTCTCTTGTTCTTAGTGCTTGATTCTAACATTTTTTGTTCTTGCTATGTGAATGATGTCGCTATCGTCTAATTGTTTTGCTAGGTGAATTGCTGTCTGGTTCAGCTGGGATGGGTTTTACTCCACATGTCATCACCATTGCGATAGGAGAAGTATGTGATTTTCTTTTATTAATTACGCCTCAGACTCTACCCTCTAAACTAAATATACAAGAAACTAGGATTCTCTAGTCCTAGCATTCCTTGCTATTATTCTTAATGGCTTTCTATGTAATAAAGCGTTGCTTTCGATTAGGTTGTGCATGAGTGTATTAAGTTTTGTTTCGGTTTTTTGTTGTTTCTTTAACGAATAGTAGCGTCTTGAATCGATACTTTTTGAGGTATGAATTGTTTGAATGTGCTACTACACATGTCAGTAGGTTATCTTATAATGGAAGAGAAAGTTCATTGTTCTTGTGAATTACGTTTAACTTTCCCTGCAGGATATTGCGACAAAATTGATGTCATTTTCACAGCAAGGGCCAAGAGAAGTATGCATTTTGTCAGCCAATGGTGCCGTCTCAACTGTTACTCTTCGCCAACCTTCATCGTCGGGTGGCACCGTTACATATGAGGTTTGGCACTCGACAACCAGACTCTTGCTTTGTTTTATGACAGATTTGTGTCCAATATTGTCGAACTGATCTGTTGTTTTCGTTAATGCTGTTTAAAAAACTTCTCATTTCGGATACCTTAACCTTTATTCCTCTGAAATTCTTGTCCTGATGCATATCTTTATTGAAGAACGTATCCCCCCCGTCCATTTTGATTTCTTTAGGGACGATTCGAGATATTATCTTTGTCGGGGTCTTACCTGTTGACAAACAATAGTGGCTATCGCAACCGAACTGGTGGTCTAAGTGTTTCTCTTGCCAGTCCTGATGGCCGTGTCATTGGTGGAGGTGTCGGAGGGATGCTTATTGCGGCAAGCCCAGTTCAGGTAACTATTTGATCTGTGACTAGTATCTATGGTCTGAAACAGTAGGAAGCCATGGTAACTCCATTTCGAAGTTTAAATCATATAAACTTATTATATGTTTCAGCTATGAATAATACTGGGGAATTCAATTAATTATATAGTATTGAACTTGAATCATCTTTTTATGTATCTTAAGCAAATGATGAATGAAACAGGTGATTGTGGGGAGCTTTATCTGGGGTGGCTCAAAGACAAAGAGCAAGAAAGGGGGAGGTCAAGAAGGTCTAAAGGACTCAGATGATCAGATCGTCGACAATGTAGTATCTCCGCCCGGCATTTCACCGAATCAAAATCTGACTCTGACTTCGGCTGCAGGGGTGTGGCCGGGGCCACGATCAATGGATATGCGTAACAATAGCCATGTCGACATCGATCTAATGCGTGGATGACGAGGACGACGACTCTTTTCCGTAATAGTTTCGCTATCAATGTAGATAGTTTGCCGTTGATTGCGGGATATGTTCGGGGCAGCCTGGTCTTCGGCTTCGATGATTCCCACTTGCATGGCAATGACAGAATGGAATTTGGTCTGATATTTGTAGGTGTGATGACAGTTAGTTTGGAAATTGTAGAATTCGTGATTTCAACTGATCCTTAGGCTTTTGCATTTCATTTTTCTACTGTTTGAACCAAATAAGATATGCTTCTCTAATCTCCATAGACAGCAGCTCTTTGTTTTCTTCGACATTCTTGGGATTTCAACTTATCTTGGGGTTTTCCTCCAGTAATTTCGTTATATCACTTTAAAACTCGGCCTGGATGATTAATGACTGTCGGAATCAAGTTGTCGCTATTCATAGACGGCTAGTCGTATCGTATCATTTAGTTTAGACGGTAGGTTAATTGTTATAATGGTTGCGAGATTTCTCTAACCATAACCTAATCGTTGATGAACTATTACTGTTAATGATTAATTGTTGTTAACGGTTTGATGACAAGTTAAAATATAGTTAACTTGTTATAATTCTTTTTTTAAAAATAACACAATAGGAACGTTTTAAAGTTTCATATTTCATATTATAAAAAAGTGTAGCACTTAGACATACTTATAATTGTGTAAGTATGTATATCTCCCAATATCTTGATATCTAACAATAAATATATAATTATATTGATGTAATTATATTTTTGTATTTTCAAAGAAATAACAAATTAAAAATAATAAAAAAAATATATATATATTAAGTTATTTGTGTACAAAATTTCATTAAAAATGTATAGATTATAAATAAAAAAATTATATTAAGTTTTTTTGTGTGTAAAAATAGAATAAAATACAAATATAATTATAAATTTAATTTATTAAAGGTTATATGTTGGTTAACCTTTTATCAAAATTTATAATAATAACCTTAATTATTAACCATCATTTTTAGCGGTTTGGTTAATCGAAATCGTTTAATATTAACGATTTGGTTAATTAACCTGTTAAATATAACGGATATACCAATTAACTTACGGGGTTTTTTGAACACCTCTAATGTCAGTTAACATCTTAGTGATCAAACTTAATAAAACAATAAGTGATCAAAAAATAAGTTTTTTTTAATTCAATGATAAAAGTATAAATATTAACTAAAAGTTATCAATCCGATAATTTACCCGAATTTTTATAAAAAAAATATTTTAACCATATTTTTTTTTGGAACTAAAATATTTAAAAAAGAATATAGACCAGAACAACCATCCCTCAATTATTGAAGTAATTTGATTTATGCGGATAACTATTCTTTTTTTAAAAAAATTAATCACTGATATCCGATTTATTGACTAACTAATCTAGATCGGGTACTGCAGAGGCGAGGGTGACCCAACCAACCCAGTTTGCTCCATTCGCAAACGTCACTATTCGAATCCCTGACCTCGCTTAACGGACCCAGTGTCTCATCCTACTAGACCAACTGGTTGTTGGTAAGCGGATAACTATTCTATTAAACGTTAAAAATGAATTTTAACATTATATCATAAAATTTTATCAATTTTACTTTACAATAACAAAGTCAAATAAAAGCTTTAGTCTTTTTAATTCATATAAACTAAGTCAAATAAACCCTACTATCAATTTGTTTTAGTCAAATAAAGTTTTATTGAGTTTATTTATACAAATAAACTAAGTCAAATAAAACTTTGGTCATTCATATAAACTAAGTCAAATAAACCTTACTATCAATTTGTTTTAGTCAAATAGAGTTTTATCGAGTTTATATTTACAAATAAACCTTACCACCAACACAAATCAATAAATAAATACTTTCAGAAATCCATGAATTGACTAGGTAGTTAAAAATATTTATATTGTGTACGAGTCGAGTCGAACAACAATAAAAATAATGTATACTAACTTTATCTTTAATCACTCGATGAATGTATATTTAAAACTTTATATTAAGTGTTGAATTTAAATTATCAAAGAGAGCGTATCTTTAATAACCCAAAATCAACATATTTGATAATGACTTTTTTTTTATTTAAATCTCATATTGTTTAAATATAAACTTAAGCAGCCCTTCATTAACTCCAGTCTATAGTGCCTTTTTGACTTGAGATCAATATGTGGTAGCACAGGTTCAGCTTGCGACTTTTGGTTGAACTCAAATGCCGTCTAAGACCAATCAGCATAGGAATATGACCCATATTTTATTTATAAATAGCTTTCCACATTTACAAATTCCCAAGCAAGCAGAAGATTAAAAATAACAGCAGGAGAAATGATGAAGAAACAAGTTTCATTTAGTGTTTTCCAGTTTATTATTTTCCTTTTTCTTTTCATTTGTGTAGGTATTGTAGCTCAGACATGCAATCCCAGTGGCACCATACAAGGCACAACGCCACCACCGGGGCAGTGTAACCAAGAGCTTGACGCCGAGTGTTGCGTAGAAGGCGAAGTTTACACGACATACACGTGTTCACCGCCGGTTTCGGCCAATACACCGGCAATCCTAACCCTCAACAGCTTCCAAGAAGGGGGAGATGGCGGCGGCGCATCGAAATGCGACGATCAATTTCACTCGGATGATGAACCCGTGGTGGCACTCTCAACGGGATGGTTCGGCCAGAGCAGTCGTTGCAATAAATTTATTAACATCAAGGGGAATGGAAACAGCGTGAGGGCTTTGGTGGTGGATGAATGCGACTCTCAAGTAGGGTGCGATGATGAGCATGCTTATCAGCCACCGTGCCGTAATAACATCGTTGATGGCTCAAAAGCCGTGTGGACGGCTTTGGGAGTGCCGGAAAACGAGCAGGGTGAACTAGATGTTACTTGGTCTGATGCCTAAGTAATCAATCTCGCCATATTGGATAAATATCCCCATCAACTATTACAATAAAGCTTTCATTAGATTTTGGAAACAGTCCGGAATAAAGGCAAATACATTTCTCTGTCAATTGTCACCTAATGCACATGAATATGATAATATAGTGGACTCGAATTTGACATCTCAAAATTCTCAAAGCCTCTACCATTAATGCGAAAGTTGGTAATATTAATGTCAAGTCTAATGTAGTCGATGAATGTGATTCCGCGATTGGATACGACGATATACATAGTTACCAAACGCCATGCGATAACGACATCGTTGATGCCTCTAATGCTGTCCGGGAAGCCTAGGGACTGCCCGAAGATCAACGGGGTGGATGAATATTCACTATAAAGATGCATAGTTGATTTTCAGCATATATTTTTACTTGTGTTTAAAGCAAAGTGAATAAGGATATATTAGAGTTTATAGCAGACAGTATAAGAACAATTTCCTGCATTTAATTATAAGCCATTACAGATGTGATTCTTAGCATATAGATATATAACACCACAGAAAAAAGATCAGGCTTTACAACCATAGATGGACTACCAGAATCCAAAACTTAAAATTGCATGAAAACATATCCCCGTCACCTTATTTACAGCATACTATCTTGACATTGCCAGAAATCGACAGAAGAAGTTAATCGGCGCTGCCGGTGTCTTCTGGCGAAACTTGGGATGCCTAGTAAAGTAAAATCCAGCTAGTACAGCAAACACCTGGAAAGGTGTCACATACATTACAATGGCTGCTGCAAGGCAGAATATCATAAATATGGTTGTAGCACGAGAATCCCGCCAACTTAAGAGTGCCTGAGGACGCTTCCCTTGACTAGCTATGTCGCCCACAACACTGAATTTTCCCTGCCACACTCCTTAAACGATCGTATCTCATCCGAACTAGACTTGCGCTCTTTGTTGCAGGAAAGGTCTCAAATTCTTCATCTAGTTCGTCAGGAGAAGCTGCATCCGCACACGAGAGAGTTGTGTCCATGTGGGGAGGGTGCCTTGGCCGGAAATGATATCTCCATGCCCCTATAATAAACATGTATAGGAGAACTGTAGGCAAAATCATGTCCGGGAAACATACCAGCATTACAAATAGGATATGCACCAGCACTGTTGTAACAGAGTTCTTACACTTGCAAACTTCACCAAACCAATTTCCGACAGCGAATAATCCCTAGAAAACTGATGTCAGGCGCAAGAAGTTCGCTTTGCTGCTCCTCATGCTCCAAAGATGAGCATTAGTATCAGACATGTATTCGATTACTTCTCTCTTGAGAGGTGGTTCAGAACGCCGAGCCGCCACGATATTCACTGCCTGATATCGCAACATGTCCTGCTGCATCGCAGTCAAGGGCTTTTTGTAGTGCCTCTTGGGCAAAAAGGGTCGTGAGTATTGAAGCATCATATTAAGCATCGATGTCGATGAGAACCGTATTGCCAAATGAAGTTCACCCATTTTCTTGACAGCAGAAGGTTGAAGAACCTGCAGGGGGTAACTATGTGTATAAACACGACCAGTTTCCAGAGTCGATATACGAATCCGGACCTTTCCAATTTTCATATCCTTGTTTCCATTCGAACCACCTGTCCGACTGTTATCAAAGACTCCCACAGTGATAAATGTGGCAGTATCATGAACTTCCCATGTATACTGCTCGTTATACTTTGGGTTCAGGCTATTTAATATGGCCCACTTGTGGCCATACTTCGCCACACAGTACGTATACGACATGCCTCTCCCGTCCCTTGTTTACATTGGCTGCAGCCTATCAGCATTCAAAATTCCGAGTTCCATAACACCAATTGGTGATTTCCAGTGTTGCTTTGCCGTCGACCGGAGATAACTGCTATACTGTGTTGACTCATGAAGCACATGGTATCCTCCATCATGACAAGCAGAAACATGGAGCCTACTGTGAAATTTATCCTTCTTTGCACGGTCCATTGCATCCGATAAAGATTTCTCCGGGTTGTACCACTGAGGACGGATAACTCGGTCATCAGCACGCCTGCCAACACAGCTCAAAGGTACAACGACCATTACCATGGTCTCATCCTTAACAGATGATCTTCAAAGGGTTCAGAAGCAACAAACATAGACTCCTCATTCCAGATTGGATTCGAATTTCGAGTTTGAACCGATTTTGTCTTCCAAGTCTGGTTACCAATCTGAACCTTAACAGATACATCAGGGAACCTGTTCTCGTCGGATGGAACAAGGTCTTGTGCCTCGATGACATTACAATCAAAATTACAATGCATTACAATATAGAAAAAATTTGGAGATAATAGTCACCAAAATACTCATATAGAGGAAAAAATTAAAACTAAAGATATGAAGAAAATTAAAACCTTCTCATATAACCTTCATAAAAATCTATTGTCTCTGTCGAATAGAACACTTAAGCGAAAGGGTAAAAGAGTGTAGAGAATATCAAATAACCTGATAGACTACTTTACTACACAATCTGATTACATCGGCAAATAAACTTTTATCAAAAGTGAGAATCTGACTTTAAATGACCACCGACTAATCAATCAGAATATAAATATCGTGATGATTTTTGTGCGAGAATCAAAACGAGCGCAGAGGTATGCAAAAAAAAACGTAACAATAACCATGATGATCGTGCCACAAGAGTAAAGAAAAATCATGTCATAAGAGCAGAAAATCTTATTCAAAATTAAAATGACTCAAGCCAAAAAGAGAAAAGACATAATATAAAAAAAATTAAAATAATTAATAGTCACCGGTGATCGGCAATCAATAATAAGATTAGTGTTGTTGTTAGCTAAATAAAAATCAAAGAGAAAGAAAAAGACGACACATAAATATGAAAAAAAACTAAGTTGAAAAAAAAGAGGCTACTAGGGTTTTTTTAACTCTTAAAAACATTAAGAGTTAATTTTTTAGAATTATGACTAAATTATAATAATATGTACAGGTTAAATACTAAATTATTATCATGTAAATTTTATTAATTTCCACATCACTCATTATTTTTTGGTTTAATCATTGGTATTTTATCTATTAATTGAATAATTTGGGTCAAATTTTATAAAAACCTATTATGATGGTGACCTCCTAACTTCGATTATTCTATTCGCAAATACAAAATTTCAAATCTAAGATATTATTTACGATATCTAATGCCTCATTATTTCTTAATAATAAAGGTAAACTTATAATATTTTAATCAAGAGATGGAATAAAAACATGTTATAATCATGGAATCATCTATGTAATTTACCCGTTTCGATGCCAATGCCAACCAAATTTGATTATTTTATTTTTCTCGTTATTCCTCTAATTAGGATGGGAAGTGGACTAATTCATGTAACATTTACAACAATATGAATTTGATAGAATAAAGACTACACGCAATCAAGATTGGAAATATAATATACTCCATATCAATTCACTTGATTTTGATTATATGGAAAATATTTGTAAAAAATAATTTTTTAAATAATATTTATAACATTATTTAAAAAAACCATGTTTAATTTATTAATTAAGAAGACTACTTCTCATCATGTCAACTTTATTAACATATAATTTTGTAAAATATTAAGGATAAAAACAAAATTATATGTTACTTACCTAATTTCACTTGTTGAGCTTATCCCAAATCCTAATTTATAATTAATATAACGAAGCAAGAATGCGATGGAAAAGAAAATTCAGATGTCTTGGTTAGAAATTTCCATGCGGTTTAAAGTAATTGACTAATAATTTTTTTTATTGTTATGAAAAGTCTTTATCTATTGAAAATTTTAGCAATATACACCAATTTCATCACTCTTAAATTTTAAAACTATATATGACTTTATTCGGCCAAGTGGTAAAATTATTATTTTTTTGAAATTTTAAATTCCAATTATTTATAACCGAGCTTTAAAAAAATTAAACATGGTATATTAATAGGCAGATTTACTACAAATAATGGAAAATTAATTCTGCCTTTAATCTCGCCCTAAAATATCTCTCATCCCCTACATAGCATATTTTCTTTTCTCTGTTTTCCCTAATTAAAAGAAAATCCAATTCTCATGCCCTACTTAAGCCAGGCATTCAATTCCTTTACTTTTCGCTTAATTATTTTCTCAGAAATTTTCCCTTTCCATCTGACAATTAATGCTATGCTTCCCAAATCTCTGAAAGATGAAAGCTTAAAGAATTTGATTCCAATATACCATATGATAAATTGTACCAATTAATATATATATTAGTAATTTCAATATCGTGCTGATCTGTATCCGAAAATTATACCATATGTTATTATTAAGTTAATGGTGATAATTCCTTTGGTGCTGCACATGGGCAAACTCATCATCCGGAATGTATGTGAATGATAAGTGCGTGTTGAAGTTCCTGGAACTAAAATCGAAGCGAAACTACCGGTTCATCGTGTATAAGATCGACGAGCAGACACAGCAGGTGGTTGTCGACAAGCTCGGAGGTCCCCGGGAAACCTACAAAGATTTCACCAACTCTTTTTCTCTGAACGAATGTCGCGACGCCGTCTTCGACTATGACTTCATCACCCAGGAGAACTGCCTGAAGAGCAAGATTTTCTTCGTTGCATGGTACAAAAACCAACACATAATTTCTCTTCCCCGACAACTGATCGTTACAATAATATTGTACCTTTATGGTGTACATGTATAGGTCACCTGATGGGGCACGGGTGAGGAGAAAGATGCTTTACGCAAGCTCCAAGGACAAATTCAAGAGACAATTGGACGGGATTCAGGCCGACTTGCAGGCGAGCGACCGAGCGAGATGAGCTTCGACATCATCAAATCCTGAGCTCTTTAATTCCTTCATGCAATAATCTTCATTGATCTGTGTTATATATCCCGTCTTTATATACTATAATATCTTTATGGTGTGATATAAAGGTAGGAATTCCCCTGTTTCTGAATGCTGCTTTCAAAATCCGTCTAGTATTTGAATACAATACTTCGTCTAATAGCTGACCTAATTAAAGAGATTTGGTTCTGTATCTGTCTATTGCTTCTTCCTGTTTAGTTTTTTCCAATATTCAGTCTCCCATGCCTCCACTTGCTTAGTTATTTTCACTTTTGCGTCGAGAGACGCTTGAACCGCTCGAGGTTCCTATGGGGGAGGCAATGTACATGGAAGTTTATCACTAGGAGACTTCACCATCGACTGCACCATGAACTCCTTCCATAAACCTTTCTTGGAGCAGGCTGCGGTTTCGGTGCAGACGCTTTGAGCTTTCGGAGGTATCGTTGGTTTAAACTTCAAGAGTTTGGAGTATTCATTCAATAAATGGAACATATAATCGTACACATTTCGCATCGTCAGCATCTCTTCGATGTATTTGCTTCCCGCTTTCCCTATGGTTTGTGCCTGCAAGTTCATGGAGTCAAGAGAGTTTATTTGCTGCGAATACGTGTTTTCGAATAATGCAAATATGTACCTTGCGAGTATGATCATTGCCCCAATCAACTGCAAACTTAAGATCTCTGCATTTGTTCTTGCGGCGAACCGGCCAGAAATGTCGCATCGGCACGAGGCTTCTCGAGAAGAAATCGTAGTACCTAGGATTTACCATCAAGGTCACACTATCGCATGCCAATATGTATTTCTCACTCACAGACCATGTCGCTCCCTCTATATAAATCTTATATCTTGATAACGATGGAACCACAGCAAAGTTCAAAATCTCATTAGACTCAGAGTTATTCAAAATCGAAATCTACTTCCCTAACAATGAGAACAAAAGGATTTTCATATATATATACCTGTGGGTGCATTGATCTTCCAACTTGGATTGCTGAAAACCTTGTCCAATTTCTTTACGCCAATCCTGCTTATAAACCCGAACATTCCAGTCGGTTTTATCTGAAAGGTTGCATTTCATAAGGTCTACCCTATCTGCAGCAACGCGGGGGTTACCCTTCCAGAAGGCATAAGGGTCCCTCTCTTCCCACTTGATCTTCTCCCTCCCTTGCTTTATGGCCCGCAACATCTGTTCCCATGGCAGTATGTTAACCTCTGCCCTGCCACAACAACAAAGCATGGTAAATACAATTAACAAGCTAATTGCAGTAACCTTTTGGCAATATCATGGATGAACCGGAAATTTCAAATTCTAGTATAATTTAAATATTTTCTGTTGAATCAAAATAGAGTAAAAACTCTAATTGATAAAAAAAAAAAAACTCTCTTTAGAATAATCTCACAAAATTGCAAAAGGGAAGAACTCTTAAGAAAGCTTTCAAATGCTTATAATTAAGCTTTGATTGTTGGATGATAAAACTCAAATACAAGTAGGGTATTTATAGGTTACAAGAAACAATCTAAACCACTCATTAAAATAAACACTAAATAATCTAAACCATTGAAATTAAAACATGAGAAAA